GAAGAAGAGGAGGATGGGGAGGAAGGCAGGGAGGAGGAGGACGCGCCCGAGAGGTCCGTGCTCGGGTACAGGGCCGCCATCATCGAGGCCCAAGACGGGGGCAGGCCAGGAGACGGGGGCGGGGCCCCCACCGGCCCCGACCCCGACCCCAGCCCCGCCCCAGGGCTGGAAAAGGGATGAGTCGTTCCCACTGCCGCCTCAGCATGCGGCCCGTTGGCCCCGAAGGGCGTCGTCTCGCCTCGGAACCAGCACTCGCCCTCCACTGACAGCCCCAGGCTGGTGGAGGCGCATGCGCGACCCCGAGGCCAGCGCCCCCTCCCCAGCCGCCGGCGCCCGGGTCGAGCTGGTCCGCGCCCGTCCGGGGACGACAGTGTGGCGCGCGCCAGGGCAGCAGCCGAGCGCGGGGCCGTGCCAAGAGCCGCAGGGGCCGCGCAGGGGGCGGCCCGGCTCGGGAGGAGGACGAGAGACGATGGGAGAGGAGCTCCAAGAGTTGCTTCTGCGCACGTTGGGCTCCAGGGCTCTGGGAACCACTGGCCTAGCTGCGCCCAGAGATGTTCGCGACTCTCTCTTCACGTCATCCTCCGCTCCGCTGTAGCGACGACGCTGGGGCGGGGCCTACAGGGAGGGCGGGGCCTAGGTGGGCGGGGCCTGAGACGGGGGCGGGCTCGCGGGACCCGCCGCGCCCAGCTCCTCGGCGGCCGGCTACTTCGCCTACCTGTTCGCCCTGCTGAGGTGACCCGCCTCGTCTCCGCCTCGGTCTCCACACCCCGGTTGCTGGTCTGAGGTAATTCAGTAGCTATGCAGCGGGGCACTGATGGAGCCTCTGACAGCTTAACGTTTAGTGGAAACCCCTCCTGGGGGTGTCCGAGTGTTTCATAGTCCGGTGCACTCTGCCTGAGGCAGCAAAGCCCCCCGCCATGCCTCCTGCGTGGGTCTGGGCTACCCACCCTGGTTTCTGAAGGGTACGCGCGCGCGCCCGCACGCACGCACACATACATTTGGGCAGAGTCCCACTCTGTTGCCCAGGTCAGAGTGCCGTAGCTTCAGCCCAGCTCACGGCAACCTCAGAGTTCGGGGTTCGAGCGACGCCTCAGCCTCCTGAGTATGGGACTACAGGCGGCCGCCACAACGCCCGGCTGGGTAATTTTATATATAATTTTTAATACATATATGAGTGTAAGTGTGCATCCACATATATATGTGTATTTTTCTTATTTTAGAGATGGGGTCTCGCGCTCCCTCAGGCTGTTCTCGAACTCCTGAGCGCAGGCAGTCTTCCCACCTCAGCCTCCCAGAGCGCTGAGATTAGAGAGTGAGCTGCCGCGTGCGTCCGGCCGGCTGTGTATATAAGCAACTGCTCCTGAAATTGCCATAATGTTCCCCCGTCACACGTGTATTTGCACGTAATTCGAAGGTACTGCCCTGTAACTGTTGTATAAGAACATTTACCGCAGTCTTTCCAATGGTTTGTAACGTTCATGAATCTCATTTCTAAAGATGGATCTATAATTTAGACGCGAGCGGAATGAAGCTCAGTTAAGTTCCACTTCCATGAATAATTGCTTAATCAAAATTTTTATTTACAGAACATTAACCATTATATAATATTGGGGGACAAACGGAAATTACGTCTTTTAAATAATTCCTATTGCTTCCCACAATCAACTATGTAAAAATTCAAATTGTGCCTAACAAGCTTTAGGTTTTTAAGGCAATATAAAAAATTACTTTAGAGTATCTTATATTTGAAGGAAATACTTTCCTATCCCTTTCAGATTGATTTGTTCCATCCCTGTCCCTGCCAATACTTTCTTTCCCAAATTTCCTCAACATGACTTTATCATTAAAAATCCTCTTTAGATTTTCTCTGAGGGGCATTGGCAGATGCCAAGATTGCCCACTTTTCCAAACATTTTCATGTGTTTACTTTAAAATTGATAATCTATTGAGTCATTTTCGTTATTTTCTGTCTTCTCTAATAGATCACAAATCGTCACCATTCTGTAATGTTTAATACAATTCCAAGTTTATGTATTTGGTGGAATGTCAAAATTTCTCATTGTAAATTTGTGGCCAGTGAACATATATATATTTATGTATGTGTGCTTTCATATTTTTAATAGTTAACAAAATTTTTAGTCTGTAGCAGAACAACTCTAACTGTGATACATTCAAAAATTCCAGGTGTTGGGCCAGGTGAGGTGGCTCCCACCTGTAATCCTAGTACTCTGGGAGGCCGGGGCAGGTGGATTGCTTAGGCTCAGGAGTTCAAGACCAGCCTGAACAAGAGCAAGACCCAGTCTCTAAAAAAACAGTCAGGCATTTTGGCAGGCACTTGTAGTCCTAGCCACTTGGGAAGCTGAGGCACTGAATCGCTTGAATGGCTTGAGCCCAGGAGTTTGAGGTTGCTGTGAGCTATGCTAGGGCACTCTACCTGGGGTGACAAAGTGTAACTCTGTCTCAAAAAAAAAATAACAACAAAAACCTCCAGGTGTTGAAGGGTAAAAATTCAGATGGCTCAGGACTGTTGGAAGGGACAGGAAGGGAGAGAAAGAGATACATGTGTAGATGTTGATACAGCTTTATTTTAATCTGAAGCTTTTTCAAATTTCTGGGCTTAGGTGATTGTTTATCCAGAGGACTACCATAGAAGGATTAACATCTAAGATTCAGGGGAATTCCAACCTACTTTAGTAGGCAGTCAGAAGAGGTATTCCAAAGTATTTGGGGGATCCTGTTTCTACTTCATAGTAACTCAGTATTGCATCTACAGCCTCCCCTTCAGAAGTCTTTGGAATCATCTCAGACTATGCAGACTATCCTCTCTTGCCTCTTTATCCAGCATAAATTGGGGTATTTTAACATGACCTATGTGATGTAACAGTTTATTCTCCATATGTGACATGGACACAAATGGTGGCATTATGATGAACAGTGGCATACAAGATTCAGAAGCAAAATATTACTAAAAGCAACTCACCCAAACTACTTGTACAAAAGAGAACAGCTTGAGAACTTGAGAACAGTCACAACTCCAAAGCAAAAAAACCCCTATAGATTTAAATGTAGTCATACAACTAGGATGGACCCTGTCTACATTTCAGACTGTCCACATTTCCCTTAGTCTTCTCAAGCCACATTTGCCTGTTTTTTCTGTGATGCCTACAAGACTTTTCCTGACTCAGGGCCATCACACTTGTTCTCTTTGCTGAATACTCATAGCCCAAATATCACATCCTTAGAGAGACCATCCCTGACCACTCAAATTAAAATAATCTCCACCCTACTTCCCAAATCAGTCTCTATCATGTTACCCTGTTTTATTTTTTACATTATTACTATCTAAAATTCCTATTTATCATCTGTTTTTTCCCGCAAGGATATAACATTCATGAGGTCAGAAGACTCATCTATTTTTTTCTCAGCTGAATCTGGTGTTTTGTTTAATACTTAGATCATAAGACAATAAATCTGTCAATTAACTCACTAAAATTATTTCATCACAAACTAAATTTTAGGAATCATATAGTTGTTTTTAATAAAAGTTTTCATATTAAAGAACAAAAGACCTACCCTCATCTCCAAAGACATGATCTAATGTAATTTTTTTAGTCTGTTTTACTAATTTATTTAGGTATTTTCTGGAAAATAAGTTTATGCTAGACTAATTTTCAAGGCTATTTTTCTTCAAATGAAATAAATACTGACACATTACTACATACACAGCATTTTTATTAAATATATTTTGTGAGAAAAAAACATCCTAAACTGCCAAATTTCATGTAAATCAGATAACTTATTAAGTATAATGGTGAAAAAAATTAAAGGGGCAAACATGATTTAAATAATCTCATGAAAGAGCAAGAACATATCTTAATCTTCATAAGAAAACAATCATCAGAATATAAAAGGGAAAGAAGTCTCTTATAGAATAATATATTTCACAATTCTACCTGATGATTATTTAAAAAATTCTATTCTAAACACATGGCAATTTCACTCTTACCAATATGTATGTTTTAATCCATGATAGAAGGAGATGTAGGGTACTCATTCACACTGAAATAAAGTGACAACATTTTTCCTTACAAAACAGTAGTATTCCTCACATTTGGGGCTAACAGTGGAAACTGGAGGAAGTAGATTTCTGGATTCAGTTGTTATCAGAATCAGTCTAATGCTAAAATTTCAGGAAAAAATAGGTCTCTCCTATTCCCAGGTAACACAAACATTAACCAAATATTGCCAATTTGTAAAACACTGTAAAAATAAAGTGAAAATAATTCAATATTAGCTTTATGTTATTTTCTACTGAAGATATTCAGTGGGCATATTCTGAATTATATAGGGTTTCACTATAGATCTAGCAAGTATAACATGTAGTATGAAGCTAACAAGTTAGTGTGAACATGTCTTGGAATGTTCTAGCCAGTGTTTGGCTACAAGTATTTTGAAGGAGTCAGTTTGAAAAATAATGACATGAACATTCAAGATTTATTATAAAAGAAATCTTTAAGAAAGATATCCACAAAATGAAATGTTTTACACATGCTGTGGGAGCAAAATAAGTACATAATGGGTGGCTGATTGACCAATTACATATACCATTTAAGAAAATGTGAGTAATTCAGATGCAAAAAGTATGTATGCACATATATTTCCCTAATAATATCTTACCAACATATCCATGCTGCACATCACAGTTAAAGCAGTATTACCAAACTAAGATATGTAAGGTATCAAACCAGTTAAAATTAAGTTTTGAATAAAAAGATCCTGTTAACACAACAGAGTGAATTTCGGGGTTTATTCAAGAATTAGTTCTCATATATAAAAAGTTTAATGTTAATGAATACTTGTCACTTTAAAATTTTAAACAGTATAGAAATTTATATAAGTGTTTTAGACCACTTTATATACTTGGAGGAAGAAAATAAAAATAACCAGGATCATGACTTTGCTTTTATGATCAAAAGTAACACACAAAAAATCAAAACACATTTCACAGCATAACCTGAAAAAACTTTATATTGATCTTTTTTGAACCATGAAAAGAATGAATTAGTCTTGTTTAAATAAGACTTTCAGGAAACAAAAATAATTTAATCATGAAATATTAGTTTGATAGTAAACATATTCGATTATCAGTATTGATTGGTAAATTAACTGTTACCCAAAAAAGTTGACAAATTCTGACTAGTATGAACAAGATACTGAATTCATTAATGAATATATAACTATTTTTAACATACAAATAATCTCTGGTTTTACACCCACTACATTTCAGAATTCTGTAAACTGTGAGGCATTCAATGTGTTTAATGTGGCAGAAAATCATATTAAATGTGTCATTATTTTATTCGGTTCAGTCCTTTTCCCATTAAGCAAGCAAACACGGTCATAACCATCTTTGGTTTCACTTCTACGAGGTCATCAGGTAACGCATATATCCGGGCACCAATCTTTCGAGCAACTGAAATGGCATATCTTAAAAAAACAAAAATATTTTGGTATGTTATCTACTGTATCTTCAACTTATTTTAACAAAAGAATGAAATATTTTGCTAAGATTAACTTTACAAAAAAGGTTAACTTTGTGAGTCTTAAATCATATTCCCCATACAAGTTGTACTTAAAAATATGAATTTTAAGGACATAGGATTTTAGAGAATTAAATGGCCACTGCGTTCTAATGTAAACCACAAACGCTTACTTAGCATTGTTCAGCTTGTCCTCGTCAGATAAATCTTCTCTTTTGATCATTTCTTGACGAACTGCATTTGGTGCAATGGCATCTATTAAATCTAGGACAGGTAAACTAGTGCTAATAGATTTATCCTAGAAAATAAAGAATAGATGAATATTCATAAACATCTTTTAATTTTCATAAATATCAGACTCTTCTGGTCATAGTCATATAACTGAAAACAATCTTTAAGGTTTTTTTGTACCTAATGTACATATAACAAACCATTTAAAATATATTTTTCCTTCAGTTTTTTTTTTTTTTTTTTTTTTTTTTTACAAATTATAGTGTAGAGTTGTCACCATACCTGTATATGGTTTGTGGACATAACAAGTCCTAAGAATGCGAACTGTAATATCAATTATGTAAAAAATAAATAACTTTTGAAAGGAAAGAGAAGGTGGATTTTAAAAAATAGGTTTATAAATTCTACTAATGTATTTCTTAGACCACAAATTCCTAAGCCTTCACTTAATATTTTTCAGAAAGAAAAATGAAATAGTGGAAGGGAACTAACATTTACAAAGGCATTGTTCTTGTTGCTTTTCATGTTTTATCTATTTAATCTTCCTTTTTTAATAAAGGAATTATAATCCCCCTTTTAAAAAAGGTGAAGAAATGTAAAGTTCAGAAAGCTCAAGTGACTTCTTTACATAACCAGTATGTACAGAATTAGTATTTGAAGCCATTACAGTCACACTCTAACACACCCAAGATTCTATCTTGAAGTTACCTATAAAATAACTAAATTCTAGTGGTAATACTTTGAAGATGAAGTCAGAAATCCTGGTCTGAATTGATTTTACTACTTATCAATACTTGAAGAAATTATTTGTTCTGTCTCTCAACCTGAACAGTGGCCACTGTTGTTTTCCTACCCAGAATCCACTCAACTCCTTACTTCTTCCTCCATCCTAACAGAGTCCATATTTTTTGTTCTGTATCCCTCCCTCCCTCACATAGACAGGAGCTTTAAGGAAAGCTGATATCCATAGCTCCAGAAGTGAACCTGAATTAGTCTGGGCTAAGCAGTCTTAGTGTGGGCAGGGTGATAAACTTACTCCTTTTATATGTAAAGTATACAGTGCATAAACAGATACACAGAATACCTCTGCATTGAAATTTCATGGGATGGGGATGATTAGGAAAAAATGTCTAAAAAGATTCCACAGGACAATAATTAAAAAGTTGAAAAACACTAGTCTAAGCCAAATAGAGTAATCCAATTGGGCCTCCTAGATGTGAATGAGAAGATATAACTTCTGTCATAACAACCATTCTATTGCCAAAAGGAAAATCAGCTTTAGGGTGAAGTTGGCACATTAGATGGCAAATCAAAGATGGGAAACAATTTGAATCCTAAATGATAGTCTTCAATTATTGGCTAAACCTATCCTGAAGTCTGACCTATCTCTGGATTTCTATTACTATAGAAATAGAACCTTGTAGTCCTAGCTACTCAGAAGGCTAAGTACCTTTCCTTTTGGTTTAAACCATTTTAGATTTTAAACTTTTTTTTTTTTTTTTTTTTTTTTGCAGTGTGGCCGAGGCCAAAAAAAAAAAGAGTAACAGTCTGCTTTTTGAGCCATGATATATGAGTCACTTCATTTATAAATTTTGGCAAAACTTGTATTTTTCATTATCAGGAATGATACATATCTCTGGGGGAGGTAATGAAAGGTAAAATTAATTAGGGCCCATAAGTCTGTATGATGCTAGTAATCTGGATCTGGATTTTGGCATCTTCTCTATTTCTGAAAATCCTCATACCTCTTTTCTCAATATATTAGTCTGCAGATCTCCTATATGAAAGTCACCTGGGGTACTTGTCAAGAATACAAATTTAGCCCCATTCTCAATAAGTTTATTACTTTGGTTATCTGTGGATAAGGCTGTGAATTTACATTTTTAGATAATTCTAATGTATGCCATTACACTTTCTACAAATAAATTTTTTAATTTTAATAATTTATTTTTTTGTGAGACAGGGTCTTGATCTAATGCCCAGACTACAGTGTAGTGGCCTGATCATAACTCACTTTGATCCTCCAACTCCCAGGCTCAAGTGATCTGCCTGGCTCAGCCTTCTGAGTAGCTAGGACTACAAGTGTGCAACAACACACTTGGCTAATTTTTAAAAATATTTTTGTAGAGATAGAGTCTCATCAGCCCAAGCTGATCTCATACTCTTGGCTTCAAGTGATCCTCCTGCTTCAGCATCCCAGAGTGCTAGAATTACAGATTTGAGCCACTGTGCCTGGCCTAAATTTAATTAATAATTTAAATTTAATTATTTAATTAATTTAAATTTATTTATATCATGCTAGAATATATCTAAAATTTCTATAAGCTTACCTTTCATGTATTTCTACCGTGATTCAAAAACACACAAGTACCTTGTTAAATTATGTTATATTTTGATTACTTATTTACACATTTATGGTATTTTAAGTATTTCTTCATTTAGATTTAGGAAATAAGTATTTTTTTCTACCTATTTCCTCACAATTCATCTTGAGAAAAGCTTCTACTAAGTTGAATGAAAAATTTAAGTTACTAAAGATGTTAGACCTCTCATTCTCTTATTTCCAAATATGCCTATCTTTTAACTCCTCTGACTTGTACATTATCAATTAAAGACATTTTACTTTTGCAAAGAGGAAAGAGTTATATTGAAAACCCATAGTTTAGTATATAAATATATTTCCATCATTTTTTTCCTTTTTCTTTCCCTAATCATAAAGAAATTACTTAAGCAAAAACATCTAGAATCTTAGTCTAGAACAGTGGTTCTCAACCTTCCTAATGCTGTGACCCTTTAATACAGTTCCTCATGTTGTGGTGACCAACCATAAAATTATTTTCGTTGCTACTTCATAACTGTAACTTTGCTACTGTTATGAATCGTAGTGTAAATATCTGATATGCAGGATGTAGTTAGGCGACCCCTGTGAAAGCATCGTTCGACCCCCAAAGGGATCGCGACCCATAGGCTGAGAACTGCTGATCTAGAAGTAGCCTAGAGTTTAGCCTGATTTTCAAGATAAGAATTTTATCATCTTTCTCTTAATTTAATACATGCTATTAGAACATTCCATTCCATTGCTCTTCCTGCCACTTTAAAAAATAAAAGTAGAAGAACAGTGATGTGGTACCACCAGAGTTCTCTAAAAGGCACAATAGGAACCCCTTTACATATTGGCAATGTCCACAGTGTGATAAGGCCAATTTATTGAGCCCTTAACATGTGCTCTTAAGTAGTGTGAGCTTAGGTACTATTAAGCTCTTTACATTTGTTAATTTATTTAGTCTGACAATAACCCTAGAAGGTATTATTAATATCCCCATTTTAAGATATAGGGAAACTGAAGCACAGAAAAATTAATAATTTGCCCAAGGTCATACAGATACTAAATGTTGAGGCAGATGTAAGTTCTGTTTCATTTATCAATAAATGTAGCCCAGCTGTTCATATCAACTAAGGTTCCTGTAAAACAGATGCCCTTCTCATGTGCTCCCATACTCCCCTTAGCTGATATATATATAATATTGCTGATACCACATACTGTAGTTTTATTTGCCTCTTTCCCTGAATAGTGACCTTTTTGAAGGCACTACATTACCATAGTGACACTGGGTAAGCTTTGAATATTTACAGAATAAAGAGCAATATGTCATACATCTAATAAGTAACTGAGCTAAGAGTTAAATCCTAGGGTCATACAACTCCAAAGCTTCACTTTCAACCTGTAGGTAAACCTGGATAGAAAGAAACCTGCTGTTCTGCTAAAAAGCTGTATGACAGTGGACAAGTTATTTAACTCCTCTAATGCTCACCTTTCTGCTCATTGAATTATTGAGAAAGTTAAAAGTATTTAAGGCAGTGACACATAGGACTCAATAAATGGTAGTTGTGATTGTCATGTGCTGATTTATACCTCCCTGTCTTCTTGGTGAGGGAAAATTACTTTACAAAAAAAAGAGTAAATTTGTCATTTCTAAAATTTCTAGTTATAGCACTGCCTTAGCTGTGATTAAAATATTTTTATAGTGGCTCGGCGCCTGTGGCTCAAGCGGCTAAGGCGCCAGCCACATACACCTAAGGTGGCGGGTTCGAATCCCCAGCCCGGGCCCGCCAAACAACATTGATGGCTGCAACCAAAAAATGGCCAGGTGCTGTGGCGGGTGCCTGTAGTCCCAGCTACTTGGGAGGCTAAGGCAGGAGACTTGCTTGAGCCCAGGAGTTGGAGGTTTCTGTGAGCGTGATGCCATGGCACTCTACCCAGGGGGATAGCTTGAGGCTCCGTCTCAAAAAAAAAAAAAAAAATATTTTTATAGTACCACTTATTATAGCTTTTAAACATAATGTCGTATCGCTTCATGACCTTTTGGCTAAGATCAAGTGTAAACAAAATGCCTTCCATAATTGGGAAAAATCCTCTCTTACCCCAACTATTTTTTTAGATTCACTGCCACATTTCTATTTTTAAATTTTTTTTAGAGCCTGAGTCTTGCCATATTGTTTAGGCTGGCCTTTAACTCCTGGCCTTATAAGATTCTCCCACCTCAGTCTACCAAGCAGCTAAGATTTTAGGTGCCTGCCACCCCACACCAGCTTTCAGTACTAAGTTTCTTAGTAAACTTAGAAACTTAAAAATTTGCACTGTCCTTAAAAATTTTATTATAAAGCACCTACTAAACGCCAAGCACTTTCGTAGTGTTTCTGCCTTCTCAATTCTAAGTAAAACTGTACTCTCCACTCTGCTGGTCTCTGTGTGTATTCTCCCTTACAAGGTTTGTGTACTCCCATTTTCAACTCTCTTACTCAACCAATCACCAAGTCTGTATTCCTAGTTTTAATATCACCTTTCATCTAACTCACTATTTCCTGAAAATTACCTCAAACTCAACAAATTTAACACTAAATCCTCACCTTTTCCAGAAAGTAGCTACACATCATGATATCCCCATCTCAGTACTGTTTTCCAGTTACCCAGGTCTAAAACATCAAGAGCTCTGAGGTCTCCAGTGCTTCCCTAAATCAAGACGCTAACTCCTAGCTCTTCTTCTGTAATACCTTAAAGCTATCCATTCTTACCATTCTCTGTGCCTACCTGCAACCCCATTCAGACTTTTATCACTTCACAGCTTAAGTACTGCTATGGATTCTTTTGCACTGACCTTGCATTATATTATTCTCCCTCCCACCCATCCTGTCCACTACATTCAGATTAATCTTCCTAAAGCAATCACCTTTCTTGTCTTTATTCAATATCCTTTATTTAGGTCAAATTCCTCCACAATATTCACCTAGTCAGTATCTTGCACTGTGTCTCTTAGAGACCATCCTTTATCTTTCCTAACTGAGATTTGCCTTTTTGCAAGATGGACCCTTCTAGCTTGTTATCCTCCACTTTTTCGTCATCAATTCAAATCCTTCCTTCATCTATGGTATTCAAATCCAACTTTCCATCCCCTCATCACTGACCATTCAGTCTGAAATGTGATCACTGATATAAGACTTCTCATCCATAATAATATTAGTTTTGTTACTTACTTAGATTTTATCATTTATTCTGTAGTATTATTACCTTCTTGGTTATACAAGTTTTGTCTTTCAAATCAATGGTGAACACTCTGAGAGCCAAATCAATCTCTTATACTTTATATCTTTTTCTTTACCTGAAAAAGTTGCTTAATAGTAAGAGCTCAATAAATATTTTGTTCCTAATTTTTTTACTGTATTTAATTATATACATGCTTAATATTTTTCATAAATTAATGTGCAAATGCACACAATTTCAATATAACAACTTTAAAGAATAACCAGCAATTAGAGAATTTTATAATACCCCCCATTGCTATTATACATTTTTAATAAGCAACCACAAAAACTCAATGTCATTAGTTCCCTGTAAGACAGAAAAAGGGGAGATAAAGCACTTGAACTAGGACTCAGCCAATGTCCCTGTCAATATCCAGTTGTCCTAAAGCACTTTGGGCTTTAGTTTTGGTAAAGATGAGATTAAATATGTCAATTTCTGATATTTCGGCATAGAGATGTTAGACAGAGCAAAGGCAAAGAGAGATAAAGATGGGTAAGTATCTTTTAGGATAGCTTGGTGTTTCATCTGTTTGCATCATATTTCACTAAAACAAAACAAATTGCTGGGTTTTCACATATAATCAAATCACAAACACAAGACTCACTGAATGAATGTACAAGCAGACATGCTTATTTTGTAGCTAACATCAGCTTGCATGCAAAAGCAAAATACAATGGAAATGCATGAAAATTAGTGGATATGTATATGCAGATTACATTTTGAGTACTTTATGAATCATCCACAAATGCTCGAAGTGAGTGTTAAGTGCCATTAATGAAGCCAGATGACAAGATATTTTGTTCCTACCAGTTTTCTCAATTCCCACTTGAATCGGTTTGGCTGGCTCTGTTATGCCTTGGGAATGATGTCAATACAATTCTCAGACTGCTGCTAGGGAGCACAAAACATTATAGGTCCTATATAAACAATGGCTTTTTGTCTTTGTTTTTCATTTGACAACTGGATTTTTTTGTCTCTTTTGTATTGCTTTTTAAAGATTAGATTACCACAGTCTGATAATAGTAACCTGCATTTATACTTGATAATATAATCAATCAAAAATATAAGAATTCAAATTAAATATATCTAATTTATACATGCCAAATAATGAGTATGCCTAAACTCATAAATTGTGTTTTTATGTGTATATAAAACATTAATGTAATTCTGAGCATAACCAGTGTAATTCCCAGTAAAAACTCCTTCTAAAATTAAAAAATAAATTCAATACTCTTGATTACCTTGAAGCTGGAAATAGAAGTATTTTTGTTTGCACTTTTAAGAGTCTGATTGACCCATTTAATAATAATCTCATCATTTACTTTTTCACCCTCTCCAAGATCTGATAACACATTCAATGTGTACCTGCAACAAAAATGATATATACTTAAGTATGAAAGAGATAAAATTTGTTTTCACATCATTTATATCAATATTTAGGTAAATATTTAAGAAATAGTCCATTTCTAATAAATATTTTTTATTATTATTACTTAATTCATATTAATATGAAGCTACAAATGATCAGGTTACATTGTTTGTGTTTCTAAGGTAAAGTTCAAGTGGCAGTTGAGCCCTTGACCCTGGAGGTGTACTGTAGTCTGGCATGTGCGCTTAGTTACATTCCAAAGTTATGAAGCTCACTAATCAGAAACAAAACCTACCATATGATATTTCAAAAATTTAAAACAACTCTTTATAAAGCCATTTTTAAGAATCACTAGTAAAAGTGATGTGTTGACCCATTTTTACATAAAACAATTTATGAAAACATAATAAACAGTAACTCCTTTAAAAATTAACATATTCTGCATTGTATGGTCCTTCTAGGTTTATTACTCTTTAAAAATTTAGTTCAGATGACTAGTTGAAGGAAACTAACACAGTGTTGCTATAAACATATCAGCCTTTACCTTCTCATCAGCTGCCATACCAATGCCAGAGTAAGTGTTGCGTTTCCTTCATTTAGGTCTTGCCCAGCAATGCCAACCAAGGAGAATTTGGCCTTATTCTTCCCAAGTTCCACTGCATAGTTACAGTTTTCAATCTAGAAATAAGTAAAATCTTGGTATAAAAACATTTTTTAAAATGTCTCCCCTAAATATGCCAGCCTAGTTTAGTCATCTGAAAAATAATTATGATACATGACCAAATTTCATTTCATATCAACTCATTGATAGCAAGAAATAAGTGTTCCCACTTTATAATCAAAGGGTCGAAAAGTTAACCTATATAGAGGAACAAGTGGCTAGAAAGTTGTAAGCTCCCCTTTACTCTAAAAGTCTTTACCATCCAAAATTACACAGTTTATTAGTGATAAATCTGTGACTAGAAAACTAGGTTTCCTACACCCCATTAATAGAGGTAATAGATTATGTTCGTATAGATTTAACATTAAAGAATAGAGAAGAAAGTAATTGTTTTATTAAAATCTAATTTCATTTTCCATATTCTTTACCCAGATCTTACTTTTCCTCTGAAATTCAGCTTTTGGCCCACTTTTTTCAAAAAAAGCTTAACCTTAACTGTACCAGCTGATAAATGATCTATCCCTTTTTTGAACTCCTAAGAATGCTTTTTTATAATACTTATGCACCATCCTCTACTTAATACTTAGCCTTATATGCATTTTCTTTTGGCCTCCATAGTATAAGCTCCTTTAAGAGAACAACTTTCACATATATAAATATATGTCATACTTTCCCCAGCCCAGGACCCAGCATAGTGCCCTGCTTACAGTGAGAATCAGATAAATGAACACCATGTAAATTATTTACCTACCTTCCTACCTCTTTCTAATGACTTAAGTCCAGTTAAGTCCTTTCTCTAGTAAATATTTTTGTCTACTGTGACCTCTATAGAGGTGTCTTATCTCTATCATCTAGGCTATAATTCTCGTATCAGGACTTATATATAAATTCTTATTTATCTGAGTCTTTTTGCTCCAGTACTATCATTGGAGGAAAAAAGTGCTTACTAAACACTTTTTTAACTTAATTTTTATTAAATCATATCTATATATTTATGGGGTATAAGTGATGATTTGATATACAATGTGGAATGCTTAAATCAAACTGATTAACATAATCATCACCTCACTTATTTTTTGCAGTAAGACATTTATAATATACTCATAGTTAACTGACACTTTAGAATAAAGTAAATATTTAGTTAAGAAAAATATAATAACTGGTTTCTCTTAGTTTTCATTCTCCAGTTAAGGGGAAAAACAGTACAACCTGAGATACACATTTTTTCCCCCCATGAATTAGAAAATATTTCCAGGAAAGATGAGAAAGGGATCATACAATAAAATAATATGTACAAGTAAATGGATATTGTTCTTATAAAAGAGAATCCAAATTCTCAAAGTACAGTCTGTTACAAATAAAAACACAAGAAGATCATTTGAACCTGCTATAATATATATTATCTGCCTGGTTCACTTCATAAATTAATATTATCTTTGTTATGTATTCATCTTTTTTTTTTTT